TCCTTCCTTCCTTCCTTCCTTCCTTCCTTCCTTCCTTCCTTCCTTCCCTCTTTTCTTTCCTTTCCTTTCTCTCTCTTCCTTCCTTCCTTTCTTTCTTTCTCTCTCTCTCTCTTTCTTTCTTTCTTTCTTTCTTTCTGTCTTCTTTCTTTCTTTCTTTCTTTCCTTCCTTCTTTCTTTCTTCTTTTTTTCTCTTTCTCTTTTTTCTTTTTCTCTCTTTCTTTCTCTCTCTTTCTCTCTTTCTTCCTCTCTCCCTCCCTCTTTCTTTCTTTCTTTTTCTTCTCTCTCTCTCTCTCTCTCTCTCTCTCTCTCTCTCTCTCTCTCTCACAGGATCTCATTCTGTCGCCTAGACTATCATGCAGTGGCACAACATAGCTAACTGTAGCTTCCAACTCCTGGGCTCAAGCAATCCTCCTGCTTCAGCCTCCCCTCCCAAGTAGCTGGGACTATAGGCACTTGTCACCATGCCTGACTTTAACTCTTTTAAAAGCACATATTTATAGAGGGTCTTACTATACATAAAGCTGTGACAAAGGAAATATAGGGTACTGTCATTAGGTATACAAAGCAGACACATAAACTTCAACATAAGTGTATAGTACACATTTTTATTGACATGCTATTAGTATATATTAGTACTATATAATATTAACTGTGCTTTTCAGTATTTGAAAGCACTAGAAATTAATTTCTTTTAAAACATTGGGCTTGTCTTTAAGAATAAGAATGACTCTGATTCTGAATTAATGAGTTTTAGTGCCTACTACCTTACTTAGGTGTTAATCTTAAGCATCCATACACTTGAAATCAGTTATAACATACCATGCTCTTGGATTATTTAAATGTTACAGTAAGAAAGCATTTCTTTTACCTTCACATAGTTGTATTCTAAAAGAATAAACTCCCCATCAGGAGATACTGAATAATCATTTATAGAATGTCCAAACTCATCCTGTCAAACAAGAACAAAGGAAAAATTGAACAATTCAATTTCACTGCCATCATCGTGCACTTACTTCATAGCGGGTACTGTTCTAGATATGTGACTTGTGCTTTGGGAGTTCCCAGTCTAGCAAAGGTGGCATATTCACCCAAACAAATGACCATGATGAAGGTGGGTGGTGACCAGTGTTAGCCAGAAAGGGAAGGATTAATCCTAACCAAGAAAAGATGGCCACAAGAGTGAGGATGCGAAAAAGAGAACGTTCTCAACAGTGGGAACAGTGTGAGAAAAAGCCAGGCATGGGAAAGGACATGCATGTTTAGAAACTCTTTAAGGGTCATGTGTAACCTGAATATAGTTTGGGAGAGTGGGTGTCAGATACAGTGGAAGGTGAGAGAACAACAAATTAGAAAAGTAGATGGGACCTAAATATAAGATGTGGAGCTAGGCCTAATTTTTTTGCATATGAAAGTGATCAAATCATATCTGTCTTTTACAAAGATTCTCTGGTGGGAGACACAGTGGCTGAAATGAGAGGGAAGAGCAGAGGGCTGGTATCAGCCTGGATGTGGGGAGTGCAGTGGTCTGGTCTACAGAATGCAGATAGGGACACAGGTTAGAGCACTCACTACCACAATATTAAACAAGGGTTTGAGCAAGGACTGTCCAGTGGAAATGGAAATTCTGAGATACTTGACATGCAGAGGGAGAATTGACAGGGTTTGTTTTCACTAACTATGGGGATGACAGACGAGTCATTGATGATTCTGAGGTTTCTAGCTTTAGTGACTTGAAAGAGAGTTAAGTAACTTTTACCAATATTGGGAACTCATGAAAAGGTATAAGATGCTTTCAGTGTGCTAGGACAGTGGAGGAAACATAACCAGTTTTGCTTGGGATTTGGAGTTTAAAATCCACATATAGGAGGCAGCAGCCAGCTAGAAATTAAAATTTCGATCTGGGAGAAGGTTAGTGTTAAATGTGTGTATGCGAAAGTCAAGCCAGAGAGGAAAGCAGTAATGCTGCGGGGTTGCATGAAATTCACTAAAGGAGAGCATGCAAAATGAAGAGGTAGGCAAGTGAAGACGGAGCCCTGAGGAGCACTTACTTTTAAAAATATGGGCAGAGTAAGAGGAATCATCAAAGGAGACTAAAAAGTAGCCAAGGCAGGGAGCATTTCAAGAAGGAGAGAAAGATCCACTTTTCCATATGCTGCAGAAAGAGTCCAACAGGCTGAGAAATGACAGTACTCATGATTTGAAAGGTAATGAAAAAAAACCCCAGAATTCTATGCATGAATTAATTATGGATTAAACATACAAATGTACTATTCTCCAAGAAAACTGAGCTGTTTCCATATTCAGCATTGAATAGCAAGACATTGTTTTCTTGTTTGTAGAGATATTCATGATCTAAAGAGAGAAAACAACCAGATCAAAATTTCAAGTTGTTATTAAACATCTTCATAAGCTGAAAATTATGGAATATAATTTAAGGTTTAGTTCACAAATACTGAATAGGCATTTCTAAGTTGAGAAAACATGAATGATATTAAACTAACATTCATTCATTTTTCCATCATTACTGTCAAGGTTTCAATTCATATTTAATTTTTTATTATACATGTCATGGAAATACTTGTGTTCTTTTCAGTCTTTTTCCCTTTTCAAGTAAAAAAGAAAGAAAAACTCTATAGAGGTGTTTAAAAACAAGGATTACCTCTTCTCAGTGCCATTAAAAATAAGTACCCCGTATGTCAACTTAACTAGAATGAACGTAAGCATAAAATTCTGCCCTACCCCCAAAAATTCTTACCTGAAATCCATCGTAAGGAATATAACTTCAGTCTGTAAGTATTTTTTAAGTAATCAGTTAGAGTGTAAGTTTTGCGACCGTCAGCTGTAGCATCATCTGCTGGTTGAAAAAAACAGCCAAATGTTCAGTAAGATGGAATAACCTAAATTTTTGGATAAAATAAACAAATGGATCTCTACAATATACCCTGCTCACAAAATTCAGAATACACTCACAAAATGCAAGACACATTTTCAGACTAAATGGACGGAGTAAAAATGCATTTAACTATGAAGTGTGTGTGAGTGTGTATGTTTCACTGTGCTCTATTATGCTACATTAGTGGGCTTTACTGTGAAGTTCTAGATCAGCAATGTCCAATAGAAATATAATGTGAGTATATATTTTCTAATAGCTATATAAAAAACAGAATTTTAAGGTAAAATTAATTTTGGTAGCATATTTATTTAACCCAATACATCCAAATATCATTTTGCCATGCAACCAATATTTAACTATTAATGAGAACTTTCATGTTTTCTTTTTCATTCTGACACTCAAATCTGATAAGTAGTTTATACTTACAGCATATCTCAATTTGACTAGGGAGATTTTAAGTCAATAGTTACATGTGGCCATGTGTTAAACAACTACTGTACTGGATGGCCTGGAGCTGCATCATCCTTTTTGGAGGCCTTGGGGCCCATTGTCAAGCCTTCTTGCTTCTCAGAGACCTTTAGGACATGCTGATCACCCACTTCAGGGATCTTCATTAGTAGCATCACTTTTCTTTGAACTTGACAGAATTTGTGTGGTTCTATAGTCTACTACTGGTGACCCAAATTCAAAGTCTGAAAATCATTTTTGGTATGTCTTTATGTTTTCCCACCATGCCCATCTAATTGACTCTCTTGATTATTCCTGGAAATTTTTTTTTCCAGGTATCTTTGTCATTAGACTCTCACAATTCTATCCCTCCTCTGCACCACCACAAGAATAATTTTTCTAAACCATTACTTTCACTCTGGTGATCTCTTCTCCAAAAGTTTTCAACGTTTCCCCATGGCCTACAGGAAGAAGATTAAAACTCCTTAGCCTGACACACACAACCCTCCATGATTGACACAAGAGTGTCTTCCCAGGCTCATGTCACTCCTTGCGGGGACCGTCTCATTCACTCTTGTGATCTGCCCACCAAACCCAGAAGATCTTCATGGGCTTTTCCACTTCTGCTTCTTTTTCTAAACCACTTCTTTGCAGTGTCTTCGCTGCTTTCCTGGTTGTCATAATTACCACCTGCCAATTCCCATCTCTTCCATGAAGACTTTAGTTCTGCACCCTCTGACTTTTGCCCCAAAACGACTCATTTGGTTCTTGTCATTTAATGACAAAATCGTTGACAACTGTTTTGCACTGCTTACCTATGTGGTATCCTCAGCTAGGCCATGTAATCTTTGAAGACAAGGCCTTGATTCTTGTTTGTTTTAATTTTTATATCAACCTTTAGCACCTAACACAGTTCAATTCCACAGTAGGCACACACACAAAAAGTTTTTATTGGTTGATAGGATGTCATCCCAGAGGCATAATCAAGCCAACATGATTCCTCTCCAATCCCAGAGCTTATCTACTGATGAAAGAGCTTAAAGTGTTTTTTCTCAAATCCTCTACTTTTTCCACATATATACAAACATACACTCACATAATCAGCCACCATTGTAACATTCCTATAACTGCAGTTCTTACAGTTTGGGGCACTGGGAAGCCAGCAGCCCCTTCTCTTATGAATTTTCTTACAGGAAATGCTTCCCTTATCATTTTCTTACAGAAAATGACCTTTCAGACAATGTTCCTAAGATTTGATTTCTTCAAATGTGGTACAAAGACACCATGGAATACTATGCAGCCATAAAAAGGAACAAGATCATATCATTTGTAGGGACATGGATGAAGCTGGAAGCCATTATCCTCAGCAAACTAACGCAGGAACAGAAAACCAAATGCTGCATGTTCTCACTTACAAGAATGAGGTGAACAATGAGAACACATGGGCACGTGGCAGGGAACAACCAACACTGAGGACTGTCGGGATGGGGTGGGGGTGGGGGAAGGGAAAGCATCAGGAAGAACAGTTAATGGTCTCTGGGCTTAATACCAAGGTGATGGGTTGATCTGTGTTGTGAACAACCATGGCACATGTTTACCTATGTAACAAACCTGTATATCCTACACATGTACCCTGGAACTTAAGAGTTGAAAGGAAAAATAAGATAAGAATATTTCTGAGGTGGGCCATTGCCTCAGTTAAAAATGATAAAGCTTTCTGTTTTCATCATTATAAATAAAGATAATACAGAAAATACAGGTTCAAGTTGAAGATTAAAAAAAGATTTTATTTCTTCAGATCTTATCTGATAATAGCCTTGAACCAGCCTTAAAAAACCTTGTTTCAAGAAATAAAATTGCTACATTTCACTTTATTACTTTATTGATTTTATTTAAACCTAGTTCATTTAATAAGTTAAAGAGAGTTAAAAAAACAACAACAACAGCTACTTTTTTTGGCCAATTTAGTCCTGCATTTCATTTCTAAAAATTAGTAGGAGATTCATGTTTGCTAGCAGAAATCAACCAGGTAAAATCAGTCCTTGAATTTGCTAACCTTCAAACAAGAAGTAAAGCATTATGCTACAGAAAATATTTGAAACTCATACTGGGAATAGTAACTGGATTTGTTAATAAAACCCTCTCAATTACTTTCATGCCACTCAATTACTTGTATACCAACCACTCTTTCATATGTCAATCAGTTAAAAACTGAGTACTATTTGAAAAATACTATTGATATAACAGAGTATATCAAATTGATACCTCTTGCTGATACCTCTTGATATACTGTTATCAAGAGGTATCAGTTTAAAATGTACATAAAACACATCCCTAAATTAGTGTAATTTGAAAAAGAGACAGTAATTGACATCCATAATTCTAATAGTCTGCTGATGTAGATATCTAGATATACCTGCACACACATATATGTATATACAATAAAACAGATATATCAACATGAAATATCTATCACTAACTCTTAATTTTATAAGAAGGGAATTAACTAAATACCTGTAATAGATCATATATAGTATTATCTCATTTAAAAGCATCTCATTTAAGGGTATTTACCCAAGTTTTTCAGGACACCACGGTTACATTGGGAATATTGAAATAATTGAGGAAACATTCTCTTGACATCACCTGCTGCCGAGGGTGCTGCATCTTCAGGTCCATGATGTGCTCCTCCCTGTGCACTTAACTCACCTGTCCTCCTCAGACCTTCTCTCACCAGTCTATAGCTTTTTTTTCTTTTTTCTCTTTTTTTTTGAGACAGGGTCTTGCTCCCATTGTCCAAGGTGGAGTGCAGCGGCAGAATCAAGGCTCACTACAGCCTCGACTTGCCAGGCTCAGGTGGTCCTCCCACTTCAGCCTCCTGAATAGCTGGGACTACAGGCACATACCACCACACCAGGCTCATTTTTGTATTATTAGTAGAGACAGGTTTTTGCTATGTTGCCCAGGCTGGTCTCAAACTCCTAGGCTCAAGCAATCTTCCCACCCTGGCCTCCCAAAGTGCTGGGATTATAGGCATGAGCTGCTACGCCTGGCCTAGTCCACAGTTTTTGAAAACCCATCATCTCTACCACATTCAGGCTCCCTTCTGCTCATGATGGCTCCCTGTGAATTGGATCCACCAGCTCATGTTCTAGATATCTGGAATGCCTCTGGTGCCACACTTGCTGGAGTCCAGGACATTCCTGCAAGCCCCATTCTTACTTTGGTCTGTGTGAGGTTCACTTGGCTGTTTTAGAATAACCCTGCAACCCAGTTTCCATATATTAGCTGCCAGTCCAAGAGCAGCACAGCTAAACGGGAATAAGCAGAGCAACACAAATGTTCCTTGTTTTTTGGCTTGCCGTTTGATAAGTAGGGCACATTGTAAGTTGCTTTTGAAACATCTAGATAAGCGAGCTCTGTAAGGCATGAGTGCCAACTCCAGGTTTTGACCTTTAGCAAGTTCAGAGTTTGCTGCCAAGTTACAACCTATTTTGTTAAACTCTTATAGGACAAGCTCATGATTCTTCTTCCTTGTCTATTTGCTAACTGACAAGGCACTGCTGCAGCAACAGATGAGGGTCTTTGGCTGCTTGCGTGGTTTTCTTAGTGAGGCCTGGGACATGTTCATTTGACTTACAGTTCAAAGCATTGTGCAGCCAAGTAAAGTAATTAATCATATGTTACCCATCACCTTATGCAGAAACTCGAGTTTCAAATCTTTAATTTAAAAATAAAAATATAAGTTTACAATTTTATGCTTTTCTTCTTTAGCTAAAGCAACTATTAGCTTGAACCATATGAAAATACCATTTTTATTAGTTTAGAAAAAGGTACAATGGTAGCATTTAAAATGGCTCAACATAATAATAAATTCTTATAAAAGCATTAAGGTATCTTAATGAATACTTGCTGTAGTGTCAAAGTCATTTCTGAAAAACAGTAATTTCAGATTGATAAAATCCAAATAAGAGACTCATATAATTCCAGGGGATATTCTTTTTTGATTTTTTGTGATGGAGTCTCACTCTATAGCCCAGCCTAGAGTGCAGTGGTGCAGTCTCAGCTCACTGCAGCCTTCATCTCCTGGGTTCAAGCAATTCTCCTGTCTCGGTCTTCTGAGTAGGTGGAATTACAGGCACACGCCCCCATGCCTGGCTAATTTTTGTACTTTTAGTAGAGATGGGGTTTCACCATGTTGGTCAGGCTGGTCTTGAACTTCTGACCTCATGATCTGCCCGCCTTGGCCTCTCAAAGTGCTGAGACTATAGGCATGAGCCACCATGCCTGTCCTCCAGGGAATATTCTTGCTTTGATCACTTGCTTCTGTATGATAACAAGATATTTTGAATATTGTCATCCATTCATACTATTTTGTCTGTATTAAACTGACATATAATGTTTCCACTCCACAAAAATAAACTGCTTTGGTAAATAAATGGCTAATGAAATACATCTAAAAAGAAATGTGCTCATGACAGCACATAACTGTGTAAAGTTGTTAAAAACAGGCA